TCCCCAGGGCTTTACCGTATTAACAGGAGAAGAGGCACAAGTGAAATTAGACACTGCTGTCGGACAACATGTGGTAATTTATAAATGTTTGAAATCAGGTTGGGTCCGGATTAGCCAGCAGCCAGGTCCAGATCCGGACCGCGGTCTGCTAATCTGTCCCCTCTGCTATACTGAATTCATTTGCATAATACTGGCTACTTTTAACTTTTTGATTTTTTACGTGGTCATGCTAGAAAGCAGTCTACCTGTTTCTTTTTTTTTTTTTCGCTGTTGTTCCTTTGTTTTTATATCATAAAACAGTAACTCCTGGTTATTTTTCTTACAAAGTATATTTATTTTTTTCTTTAATTGCTTGAAAGCATTTTAGTTTTACTGCTACTTTTACTCAGCTGAAGCCTGTTAATGTGCATTAAGGCCATAGAGTCAAAGTCAAAGCGAATATACACTTTTCTCTGTGGATGAGCATGCATGCATGTTCATGTAGGTATAAATTAGAAACTGTTTTCTTTGCTATGAAATGTCTCTGGCCTCTCAGTTTTCGGTGGCTTTGTGTTCACCTAGTGGATTCTAACCCTTTCATATATCTATTCTTGTTTATTTTTGCTCTGCAGAGGAGGCATCAGCTTGGAGCAGCCTTTACTAATTTATAGATGCTCAGTGCTGAGCTGCAAAAGTTAGGATTTTCAAACTCCAGCATCTGATTTAAACAGGCTTGACTCGAGGAACAATACAAAACATGATGGCAGGCCAAGACAATCAAGGATGGTGGATTTCCCTGATCTCTGACCGAGGAAAATCATTCTAGAGAGGAAAGCTGATAATACGCAACAAAGCTCACGTGGCAGGATTATCTCCCTGAGAATCAAGCCTCTCCTTTCTCTTTTTAAACGAAGGACCCCAAACTGAGCAATAAATCAAGCAGATGTCTAGCAGGAGGGTGCCAATGATCTGATCCAAATCAAAGACACTTCGTTCAGGAAGAAGGGACTCACTCTTAGAGAAGCTATACAGTATGCAAGATCTTCAAACCACATTTAATTGCAGAGCTTTTCTTTTTCCAAACGCTGCACCATCACGGAATAATGAATACTGATGAAGGTGGACGGGTAGTAAAGCTAAGCTTGTGAAAGGAGGCTCCAACCTATTTATTCATCAATAAAACCATAAAAAAAAATGTAGTTTTCTTCCCAAAATGCATCAACATACAGACCAGATAAATAGAATAGAAAATCCCTTCATTGTCCCACAATGGGGAAATTCTGGAAAATAATATGATAAATTAAAGTTAGAGAGAAGGTAAAGTTAACTTTTAATCTTAGCTGCAGATTCTAGTTAAATTTCCTTTTAACTTTTAACAAAATGCAGGTTTTTCAGCCGTCTTGATGCAAAGCAGCCGTCAGTGTTTTCTAAACGACTGCCCAGTGATTCTAAATTTAAAACTGATATTTTTAAACATCCTTGAAGAGAAAAGAGGCTCGTCACAGCGGAACAACCTGACCTGAACAAACAGACATTCAAAGAACACCAAACACTGAACTATTTTTCTTCTTAATAACCATCATCGTTGTTTTATGCAGCCTCAGTTTTATTCCTGGTACATCAAGCAGCCTTTCAGACAGAAAGTGTCGATTCGTCCTTGTTTGTTATGTTTTATTTCTTCTCCAATGATGACAAGTTTTATTTAGAAAGTATTTAAAAAAAATCTCAATGAATGTTTTGGGAAATATTCCTACGGGAGCAGAGCTTAAAATAAACAGACATGAGGAGTGGATGTAGGACAAGAGAAAAGAGAACAGAAAGGTAGGACTATGAACAAATAATCAATTTATGATAAGTTGTTGATAAATGGTTTATTAAAGGAACATTTGCTCTATTAGATAAAGATTGCTTTCAAAAAATTGTATACTTTATGCTGTTCTGTTATGACGTATAAACACTTAAAGCTCCAGGGGTCCGTTTCAGGAAGCAGGTTTAACAAACTCAGATTGAAATCTGCAACTTTAAATTGATCTAGCTTAAAGTTGGGAAGTTTTCTGCTATGAATTTGTTCAATCAACTCTAAGTAGGTCCACTCAGATTTGAACATGTGCGCAATGAAAAGCCATCATCAGTGGAGCCATGATTAGACAAGTCACCATGACGACAAAAAAAAAAAGGAAGTGCCATTTCACCCCAAAAAAACTAGACTTGCTATCAGTGTATCAACCCTCCAGACCACTCAGGTCTTCTGG